GCCGCAACTCCTGCCCGTTACCACGGCGAGCGCGGGAAGGGCGGGCTGGCTCCCTCATTTCACCTTTCCCCTCCATCATGAGGGAGATGCACCCCCATTTTATTTTTCCTTGAAGAGACCGTGTTTACAGTATTGCTAAATTAAATAAATAATCAGGCAGTGCACAATCTTGTCATAATTTTGTCCTGTTTTAAATTTAAATTTAATTTTTAATTTTTATTTGCAGATTTTCAGGAGACGACACTTTGAGTCAAAACATTGACAGCATAAAGCTTATGACAACAGTGATAGCCTTGAGAGGTAGCCTGGGTACCCATGTCACAAACCCAGGGGATAGCAGGAACTACTTGTGCAATACTAATTGGGAGATTTTTGTATTTTAGACACTGCATGAAGATAAAGACATCATGGATAATTATGAAATCATAAAAGAAATTGGGGAAGGATCATTTGGCAAAGTATTCTTGGCAAAAGGAAAAATAAATAAAGAGCAATGTGTTATAAAAGAGATCAGTCTAACTAAGGTAAAACAATAAAACCTGTTTGATAGCAATGGTTATTATTTATCTGATTGTGATGTTGTGTTTAACAAGGGCGTAAACTTGGGTTGTGTTTTATCTCCTCTACAGTTGCATGTTAAACTTTTCAAAGACTGTAGTTTCCTATTGCTAACTTAGTGATTTTACAAGCATAAAATAAATATGCATTTTAGTATTAGCATTCTCTTTATTTTTCACTACATTTTACTTCTTTTCAAAACCTACCTCTACTTACAGAGTATGACATTAGGCTAATTTAAATATTATAATAGCTGACTCAGCAGCAATGAAGCTATTGTTTCTGAAACTACTGAACAACATATATATTTTGATATATTTTTCTCAATTTCTTCATTTCTTTCTTTCATAGGCATATTCCCTGAGTAATTTGCAAAGGGAGGGGCCTTTCAGACTCTCATTTGTGTTTATGGCATTTTGACATTAAGGATGGGATTCATCTCATCTAATTTTAAATACCCATTCTGTGGATGTCAGCAGCAGAGCTACTTGGCTAGACTGCCCTTCTAGGAGAAAAGAGAAATATGCATTTTTAGGATGCTCTTTGTCTTGCCTATTTTAGGCTTCTGCTTTAGAACGAGATGACTTATTCCATAAAAGTGACCAGTTTCTTTCTGTTGGCAATAGGTGGATAGGTGGATTAGGGTGACTAGCACAGATAGGAGAAAACCCCAGTCGTATATCTAATTCCAGAAAGGCAATTAAATTTGCCACGATTTTGATACAAATTGAGTGTTTAAATACTTTTGACAGGTCTTTTGATAATCTAAGCCACTCTATTGAATTTCTAGGTGCAATACACAAAAAAATCTAATAGAAGAATGAATTTTTATACTTCACTTCTAGACTTAGTTATATAACTTCTAGATTCAAAACCAGAAAATTGATATGCTAATAATGACTCTAGATAAAAATAAGTAGTTTCTCTCTGTGCTTATGACCACTACAAAGCACATACTTCTAATTTTAGTTTGATTTACATGACATGGAAAAATATTAGAAAGTCAGTTATTATTGGCAATTCCAGTAATTCTGAAATCATGAGCCAGATTCAGAAAACTCTGAAATACATTATCAACAAATTATCAGCAAATCAAAGTCTCATCACAGTGAAGTAAATAGAAGTTTTTCATTTACAGGGAAACAAAGTAACAAGGCTTGCAAGATAACAAGGCAAAAAAAATGCTGAAATAGTACAAGAACAGTTAACAACAGTAAAACAGAAAGACTTTTTTTTTCTTTACTATATTAAGAATGCAAAATCACCTACACCCTTTTTCTGCAAATACTTAAGGGAACGTCCCCATTTAACTCTATTTCTTGACTAACTTAGTAAGAGCCATAGCATTTGTTTAAAAGGTTTGAGGATACATATTTGCCTGTTTGTAAAATACCATAATTCGATTTGACTTTATTGAAGTTCCAAAATTTTTTCAAACGTATAGTCCAAATGGATATTTTACATGATATATGCACCATATCTTTATATTCTTTGTATTTCTGCAGTGCACCTTGGTGCAAAATCTTTCTTTCTGGGAGTGGTTGACCCATGACCTGTGTTAGTATTTATGAATAGGATTTAATACATCATTGCTAGCATGTAGCTTCTTACTTCTTTGTAGATGCCTGTGAAAGAAAAAGCAGCCTCTCAGAAAGAAGTCATTCTTCTGGCCAAGATGAAGCATGCAAATATAGTAACCTTCTACACTTCTTTGCAAGGTTACTTTTAACATTTTTGATTTTTTTTTTTGTGATTACGGGAGCAGAATACAACAAAACACAATTAGATCCTGTTGCCCAATCCTGAGCCTGCCCTCAACTCCTGACTTAATGCTGGGGACATACAGGTCCCAATTCCCAAAAATGAACACAAAGCACCGGGCTCTGTCTTCACTTGCCCTCTTCCCTTACACAGGTGGGATCTAAGGTAGAGTAAATGCTAGGTCCTTGGGTGTTTAGATGGCTTAAGTTGAACTCAAATCCTCGCCTAATCCAAATCAGAATTGGGAGTTTGTGGGACTTTGCCAGGAGACTCAGCTGGAGATGAGAGTCTTTGAGTGTGGCAGGAAATTGATCCTGACGACCAGTATGGTCTTGAGCTCTATTTCTGGGTTTGGAAAGAGGGCTAGAATCATTGTGCTCAGGTTGTTTTCTGTGATCAGGACTATAAACATTTTCATGAGCAGGTACATTTAGTAGTCTTGAGAAACCCAGAGAGTTGAGGATGAGTTTTCGTAATAAGAAACCCTTGCTGTTTATTTCTAGTATTAGAGTGTCTACTTTTAGCTCTTTCCATAACTCTAAACTATCCCAACTATGAAGCCTTTTGCAAAACATTAGCTTTGCAACTGTCCATCCGACTTCTATCAGTGAGGGCTTTGAAGAGACATTGCATATATGTAACGTTTTGGTGAATCTCCATCTAAAGAAATTTGCTTGTGTTTCAGAGCTTTGCTCGAGTCAGGTTTTTGTCAGGCTTAGCTAGTGGTATCCATTTGAGTAACATGAGTAACCTTTTGAAATGGAAGAGTAGATTAAGTACTCTTTTTAAAACTAATGACTATACAAAATCAAAAAAAAATATTGCTCTATTAATAGGCAATAAGTGACAAAAGAAAATACATACTTTTCTTCCAGATGAAAACAAGCTATACATTGTGATGGAATACTGTGATGGTGGAGATTTAAGGACGCGGATAAACATGCAGCAGGGAGTGCTTTTTGACGAGGACCAGGTGAAAGAAATAACTTTTATGGGAAAGGACTTATATAAAACACACGGTTTGAGTTAGCTGCTTTTGGATACTGTTTCTTGCCTGAACTGTTGTCAAAAGATTGAACATTTTAGCAAAACTTTGTGATATTAATGAGAATTTAGAGTTTGCTTTTTACAAAAAAAAAAGTTTTTAAATCATTAGCAGTGTTTTGATGTCAATTTTATCACGTCCTCCATTCTGTTATGAATGTGCTGTTTCCTTATGTTAATAGTGCCTCTTTTAAGCTGAAAGACCTTTTAAATCGCGTTTTACAATTATAGGGGATTACATTATATACCTGTGTTCATTCTGTTATGCTGTTTGCACTGTGTTGTGTCCTGGTTTATACTGAAATCAACAGTAAATCACTCATTCGCTTCATTCAGATCAAGACTTCTCTGATGCTGTTTAAATTGTTAAAATGGCACAGAAGAAAAAAATCCCAAGATCGTAACTGCTTTTGGAATATGTTTACATATATTTTAGTGTATAAATATGTACATGTGATAAGTATTGCAATTCATAGAAACAGTAGTTTCCACAAGTCTTTATTCTTTTATATTTTTTTGCTCTCTTCTAGCTTTCTGAAGAAAATTTTCAGTCATTTACTTAGTTTACTAAACACTGCGGTAGACACTGGTACATTCCAGTTTTTCAGCACTATAAAAATGTACCTGGATAGCTAGGATCTAAGACCCTCAGTACCTATTATCTAAACTGTTAATAGAAATCTACCATTAAAATAAAAGTAGAAAAGAGAGAAATGTCACACTTCTTTTTTTTTTCCTCTAGAAGGAAAAGAAGAATTCCCTAGTATGGAAGTCAGTTGGAAGTGAATTACTGGTTCAGTAATACTGCATTTTATGATCCTACTGGGAGTCATACTAGAGGTATAGAGAACAGAAGAGAGAAAATAGAGAGAATTAAATCAAAGATCACACAAATGCAAAGTGGAAAATGAGCACATACAAAAACTGCGACCGCAAGACAGAATAATTAATATCAAAAGAGAATTGACATAAAGACAGAAGAAGGGATCATAAAAATTAGAAATTCATCTGACAGTCAAAATAAAGAAGCAAATGGTCCAATTAAATGTAACTTTGTTAAAATATTTTTGCATTTTTAAATGTTAGCCTAAGGAAGTCTCATTTATGACCTGCAGCACTACACCTGCAGCAATAAGAGATGAATTCTTGAGTCACAGCCTTCTATGACCACCTGTTTCCCTAAAGAGAGACACTACTAAGGAAGGTATATGCTTACCTTCTCTGAATTATGTACAAAAGCTCTTAATTGGTAAAATCCACCTACATTTGGAGCTAAGTATGTGCTTAAGAATTATGCTGGGTGCAGGATAAAGGGTAAATCTGTATTATTAGTTGTTATGCATTTTTGTTGTTTTTTTTTTCTTATAGCTCTGCTGTTTAACCACATTTCAGACCCTTAGACTCTGTTTCCTTTTCCTGTGCCACATTCAGTAAGACTAAAATACTTTTAGAACCAGTATGACTTCCACCACTGAGGATTAAGAAGGCACTATCCCATTCTGTCTTTGTTGCTATTTGAATTCACTCATTTCCAGATATTCTTCTTTGACCTAATGCTACAGTCTTTTTTGTGTGATACAGATCCTGTCACAGTCAATGAAAAATTGACTTTGATAGGAAAAGTGGGAGTAGGTATTTATTTCCAATTAGTTTTGTTACAGTTAATAAAAAGGAAAGGAAAAGTCTGTCATTAATTTTAATCAGTCAAAGTTTTTATATTGTGTGTATTCTACATATATTAGATTTTAAGTAAGACATCCTACTGGAAATTAAAGACACACAAATTTATAGACACCCGATTCCTTTATCTTTCACTGCAGATTCTGAGCTGGTTTGTGCAGATCGCCTTGGGATTGAAGCATATTCATGACAGGAAGATTTTACACAGAGATGTAAAAGCGCAGGTAGCAAAACTGCAACTGGGAAAGAGGCATTTTTGTCTTGTAAAAAATATGCCTAAGAAGCTCTGCCATATTTCCTTTTGCATACCAGTATCTTCTTTGTTTGCAGAACATTTTTCTTAGCAAGAAGGGAAAAGTAGTGAAGCTTGGGGACTTTGGCGTAGCAAGAGAGTTGAACAAGTAAGCACCTTTTTTAATTAGTCTGTGACTTACACTAAATATGAGTGTTCTTGAATGTTCAGGACGCAAGCTGAATGTACAGGTTGAAGATGGGTGGTGCCTGATGAAGAAGTCTAGTATCCCAGGGTTTGAAACTACCGTTTTTGCTCTTATCCTGAAATATGGCAAGCTCGATTAAACCTTGGATCTATCTGGCTAGATACTAAATCATTGGTAATAAAATAATTGGTTGCTTTTACACAGAACTAGGCAGTACTTGAGTTTTTCTTTGGTCTGTTCCATTAGCACTCTGGAGCTTGCCTATTCCTGTGTAGGAACCCCCTATTATCTGTCACCTGAAATCTGTGAGAATCGACCCTATAACAATAAAACGTAAGTCTCTCTTTTCTTCCTATACTTATGCATGAGTATATCCAGGTGTAAGAGAACTTAGCTTTGCTGTATCTGGTTCTCCATCAAACGCTAACATCCTCTCAGTGTTTCCAACATGAAGTAACCAATACAGATATGGGTCTTTTTAGTTCAGAGTTTGTGAATTTTTGATGGAATCATTTGTGATTTGCAAAAATGCACTAGGAAGAAAGCTGCTGGATTGGCTGGAACATACTTTGCAATAGTTATCTGCAGGGAAGACAAATAGTTCTGAGAACTGTAAAGGCTCACTCAGACTTACACAAAATATTACGTGAAATGCACTGGAAAGTCAGGAGCTGAGGGAACTAAGCTCGCTGCTCTGTGGGGAATGTGTTTATCACAAAACAGCCCTTAGTCCAGACTAGCATCTCAGCAATAATGTGCTTGTTACGCAATTTTGTTCTCTTATTATCCCCTTAACTGTCAAGTCAGCCAGTGAACACTTTGCCCTTCATCCCGCTAGGAATATTAAGCAGGCATTTCATTTTGACACATGCCTTTTCCAGTAATAACAAACAGAAGTACTTACTTAAGGAGCATAGAAACTTTGGTGCCATGATCAAAATAGTTTCTTTTTTTACTGTACATAGTGTCAAAAATTGTATTTTGCATCAATATTAATCTGTGATGGAATCATAATAAGTTTGTGGGCTGAGAAGAGGAACTGGTTACGTGTGTGCAAATATTACAGCCTATTTTCATTTCTTTTATTCACAGAGATATTTGGTCTCTTGGCTGTGTTCTCTATGAACTATGTGCCCTGAAGCATCCTGTAAGTACCTTAGAATTAGATCAATATCAAAAAAGGTAGTAGAAAGACGTAAAAAAATCTGGTAATAACAACATCCATAGGCAGCTGCTTACTTGTTGGTATTAAAACATGACTGCTAGTGTTTAAATTTTCATACGATGTCTGTTCTGTGCATAATAAATAGAAATATAGTAAATTTTGCCGTATTTATGCAATAATAAATTACTAATTATATTATTAATTGTATTAATAATTATATATCATATTAATCATATATACTAACCATATATACACACATGTCTATACTTAGACATCAATCATAACATTTATTCATGCCTTAAAAGCTGGAAAGATGCTGACCTGCTATGAAATCTGCTGAGCAAAGAGGAAAAGGTTATCTGATGAGCTTGATGTTGCTGATTCTGTAGCATCAATTGTTGAAATCAAATTGTCCTTTGGTTCCCGAGAGAGCATGGAACACAAAGGTTAAGTTGTGTGGACTGTGGTTTTGAAAGTGAACACTGTTAAGGTAGTAAATATGCAGGTGTCTTTGTTGTGCAGCTTTTGGCAAGATAAATCACCTTTCATTCTGGAATAATTGCTTCTGTGGTTAGTGTGTGACAGCAGACTGTGAAAGATACCAAATGTGCTGAGCTGACCTGCTGAGTTGTGCAGCGAAACAAGGAGAATGTAACTAAGAAATATGGTGAGAGAGTGAGTGGTTGTATTAGTTTTACCAGCAAAGAAATGGAAATATAGACATATTGCTTGAAAACAGCACATTGTGGATAGTGAGAAAGGCTTCATGAAGACATTTCCATAGCACAGAGCTACTGTCAACAAGAACCCTTTTTTTTTTGTCAGGAGTTTGCCACACTGATTATATAAGTTGGGCATATATATATTATATAAATCTAATCTGTCGTTTTCATTATCAAGCAGAAATACTTGCTGTCATAATTTTACTTTTTTCTTTGAGTTTGAAGGCAATAGTTTGCACCAGCTGGTGCTGAAGATCTGCAGAGGACATTTTCAGCCTGTGTCTCCCAACTATTCTTATGATCTGAGGATATTAATTTCCCAATTGTTTAAAATATCTCCAAGAGATCGACCATCCATCAATTCTGTTTTAAGGAAGCCCTTTTTGGAGAAGCTCGTTGTCAGATATTTGCCCCCTGAGGTGAGTATTTTGGGTTGCTGCTTACTGAGAGAAAAATTCTTACCGAAGTGGCCTAAACAATTCTATCAATCGGATACTTTTTTGCTTATAGATAATGCAAGAAGAATTCAGTCACACTGTGATACACAGAAAAAGACCATCAGCATTGCAGCCTGGAGAGAAGTTGATGCAAGGTAATGATAATAATATTAATTATTAAATATTTCATATTTACCATAAATCTTTCTTGCACATTTGCACACAAGAGCTTCCCGCAAAGTTGCAAATAAACAGAGGTGAGAACTGCAAAGTAAAAACTTTGACTCCAGACAGTGCATCACTGTCCGGTTCAGGAAAAGGCAGCTGTGAGACTGGCTTGTTACCACATTTCAGCCAGAAAAGCTGCCATAGGAAAGTGCTGAAACATTAATCTTAATTCTTGTAAGAACATAATTTACAACACAGGAAGACTTCGGCAAAGATGTAGTTCAGGTCTGTCTCATGACAAGCCACTTCATTTTGCCAAGGTACCTGCAAAAAATTAAAAATACTCCTGTATTTTTTTTCCACAGTATTTTACAAAATAATAGAATTGTATTTTTAAACATAGTATAAATCAGATTAAATTGTGAGAGGCAACGAACTGTATTTGCATTGATCAGTTTGTGTAAGCATACTGTTAGAAGACATGGATGACAGGAAATAGCGTCCCTGTGTGAACTGCTGGATGTCTGATGTATTTCTGGCAGAGTGATCTTTTCCTAATTCTATACTCTTCAGTATATCAAAATTATTCTTCAAAATTTATTTTGAAATATGAAAGCAGCTTAAACATATGTGTGAAAATAAACCATTAACTTACAGGCATGGTGAACTTTTATTTTTCAGAAAGTTCTTCAGAAATGTAAGAACCCATGTTATTTTGCAAAATAATTTCAAGGAGATTTATGTGCCTTCAGACATAATGCAGTTTTGACAGTGGCATCTGAATGCCTAAGTCAGGCCTTATGAAAAATATTTATACTCATAATTTTCAAACATTTTACGTCCCAGACATGATACCCTGGTGGATAAGAGTCATTACTCAAGAATAACTTAATGGTCACTTAGAACTACTTAATCCTAACAAATACGCTAGTTTTCTTTATTTCAGCTACTTATACTGTACAAGTATACGAAATACTTATTCTGACCAAACTTGAATGGTATATTGTACTGTTCTCTTGCTTGGGGGATTGATATATTTTTTGTTTAGTTTTGCAGTCCTCCTTTCCAAATTTCACATGTACTACAGCATGGTCTAGTGGCAGCAGAATAGCGAGAGCTAAGTTTAAGAAAGAGGTGCTTAAGAAGGAGGCAGACATTAAGCCTCTTATGAAATCTAAGCTTAAGAATTAGATCTTCTGATTTCTGTTCTTGATGATTTGATGATTCATCAAATCAGTGTTTTGGTTTAGAAGTCTCCCTTTGATTCAGTGTACTTCTTTGTAAAACTAATCAGTAAGGTGCACTTCACATCAGTTTGACAAATCTTAATGTTTTCAAAAACATGTAGTTCCAAGAATGATGAATAGGATGTATAGGAAGTGTGGAATGGTGGTGGTGATGGTGGTGATGAAAGGACACAAAGGGGCTCAGCTTGACGTGCTGGGGGTGTGCATCTCACTGTGGTTTGCAACTCTCATGATGAAAGCACAGTAGATAACCTTTTAATCTCTTGTCGTTAAGAAGCACATAAACTTCAGAAAACGAGAGCCCAGGAAGAAGTTCCTCCGGAATGCGAGCTGGTCGTACCTGTCAAGAAACAGGAATTGTTTCAAAGAAATCAATGGAAACCTTCAAGAGAGCAACAGCCTATTTTTCGGGTACCGTGTATAGAAAAATTGCATGAACTCCACTGTCTTCTAGGATTTAGATGTAGATCTAGGATCTAGAGGTCTTCCAGAATCCTCTTGTAGGATTCTAGGATGATTATCTCCAGGAGGAGTATTCCTGCTTTCAAATAAGACCCTTCCAAAGGCCTCATTAAGACCAACTAAATTCAGCTTAATGCCCTATGCTGAGCCTGTTGGAGATAGATAAGCATTTTTGAATCTTCTGCTGTTGAAAAGGCCGAGCTGAGAGACACTGAGTTTAGGCTGCTTCAGTATGGTCCCTGGTAACACAAGGGCCCAGGCGTACTTTATATTTCCTTTTGTCAAAAGACAGATAAACTGAGTCTCTTCCATTTTTGCTATAAGAGCAAACCTTATACTTCATATGTAACCTTTTATCTCACTGCCCCTAAGAACCCATTTCATGAGCAAAACCCCTGGCACCCACTGCCTCCGTCTCAGATACTATTACAACCAACTGGGACCTCATCCAGCAGTAGACAGCCCCAGTTCCTTAGAACATCTCTGTCCTATACTTGTTTTCCACCTCCTTCTTTCCTTAGGCTAGATCTCAGCCCTGTGCCTCTTCAGCCTCTTCCATGTCCTCACCTCATACCCGTCTCTCTGTTTTCAAGAGCACGTAGTATTGCCTTGGCTGCTGGTGAGCACAGAGCACAGCAATGTAGAAGTTGGAGCTCCCAATGGTAGCTGGAGCAGTCCTCCAGCAATCTCTTATACTACCCTGCCCCTGTACAGAATATAGGTTTTATTTTTTCCCATAGTTACACTGGTACATATCTGATGCAAATTCAGAGATACTAGATAAGTTTCCTTTGATTGTGCACTGCAAGAAGGAAAGACAGGTTTTTGTCCACTGTCTACCAGACAGATCTCTTAGTATTAACACTGGGCAGGTCCCCACATTCTTTCTGCATCCAGATGAAACAAGCAGTTCACAGGGTTTGGCGGATACTTACACTGTTCTGCTCTCAATGATTGCTTAGGGACTCACTGTCCACAGTTCACAGTCACCTTACATTCATTTAGGTGGCCTTGATTTCTCTGTTGCTTGGGGCGATGGTGCTTTTGAGTACCATGCTCTCAAAACACCTTTCAATAAGGGACAAAAATAACTTTTTTTGGTGTTAACATCACTGTCAGGGGAATTTTTTCTTCTAATATAGGTAGTAATTTATATTGTGCTGTGATCCAGACTATAGGTATTTTTTTTTTCATTTTTCAAATACAGCATGTGGTAGCTTATAGTATCCCACTGTGGGAAAGTTCACGGATGTCTTACCATACTTTTTATATCATGTAACAACAGTTAGGCCTTCTCCCCATTGCTCATACGAGAAATATGAGAAAAAGAAAAAAAAAGAGAAATGAAAAGACAGTCTTGTCACGGCATAGAGATACAGGAATGTCCCATCACAGTGAGGACGTTGAGAAATGAAAGGCCAGATGCCCTGGCCCATAATCAAAAAGGCGGTGTGAACCAGCTCAGTGCTCCCCTGAAAGCAGCTCTCAATGTGTACATTTCCAGAACTACAGCCCAGGATGCCCTTGCTCTCACATGTCAAAATAAGTCTCTCTTGGAATTAATCAGTGCTTTGGCCTTCGGAACGATGCGGCGGCTCTAGGAGAAGCAGGTTACAGGTAAAATGCCCCACGCTGATAGACTCATCCAGGAACGTGGGCTGCTGCGTAAGGAACAGGGAGAGACAGTAGTAGGATTACTTAGGCCTCGGGAAATTAGGAGGTTTCTGGATTAGGGGTGAAAGTGTTTGGAGAATTTACACCAGCTATACTATATATAGTCTATATTATCATGCACCTGAGAATGAAGAGAGGGACAGGAAGTTAATTCAAAATGATGTGGATATGGAGGACAAAAGATTAACATCCTTTACCATATTTTCAGCTACAGAGTTCCAGCATCAAAGTGGCAGAAAGGCCAGAAAGTATGAGAGTACACGGGCGTTACGGTCATTACTACGATAAACTTGACAACTTGCAGAGAAAAACTAATGCACAGTATGACCTTTCTCACGTCAGCCAAAGACTTGAGGAATACTATAAGCTGAAGGGACAAGTGGCACCCTCACCCCCGCCAGCTGACTGGTAAGCTCTGTCCTGGGTTAGCAGTAAACTCCTGTGGAGCTTGAGTTACTCACGGTCTCAATCACATGGCAATAGGGACCTGGACATCAGTGTGATTCCTTCTCTGCTTGCTGTTTCACAAGTTTTTTTTTGTGTGTACAACAAGACAAAACTTTGTTGCTGTCTAGCTAGAAGCACCTGCTGCCTATTTTCCTAATGTTTGAAATTCCATTTTCAAAATGCCTCCCAACTTCCAGCATTTTATTAGGGGAATAACCCCCACCATTTTTCAGACTTTCTGATTATACCAGCGATAATCACTGCCTGGGACCGGAAAGTTCTGTAGAGCAAAAAGTTATTCAAACAAGGGAGCAAGGAGGGAAGCAGGCCACACATTTCTTTCTGCAGAGCTCAGATTTTGCCCAGTAGTTTCTATACTTCAAAGTCTTCCTTTCACAAAGCAGGTGTAAAATCTTGTTTTTTGTTTTTGTTTTGTTTTTCTTTAACTTTTGAAATTGCTGGTCCGTTCCATGATTGGCCGTTTTATGAATGAATGAACTTTACAAACTTTGAAAAAGGTAAATAAGTGAGGAAGTTTCAATATTTGCATGCTTTGGGAACTTTCCATTTAGCCTGGCTGAATTTTCATTCAGTAATTTAGAATGTTTCAGTTAAGGATCATCAAATTTAGAACATCTTCTCTGAGATGAGTTTATAGTGTCTTACTCAAGGACAAGCCCAGTTCATTTTGACTCTCTGAGACACAAGTGGATTGTGTGGGCAAGTTAAGTAAATAGAAATTAGGAAACTTACAATTATTGCTGATTATTTTATATAAAAATATAGATCTTAAAAAAATCCAAAATACATAAATACAAAGTTAGATTGATAGTTAAACACAGAAGAGAAATAAAAAAGTTACTACTGAATATGCCACCTTCATTCTTGCAATTTTCCCTCGAACTGAACAACTGTTTTAACGAACGCTTCCAAATACCATTTATCAGATAAAAGGTAGAAAAGCACTTTGTTGCAGAGGCTTATGTAACTGAAGTAGTAGGAAGGGAATACACAATGTAGATATGCTTTCTCTGTTTTATGTTGTTTCGAGAGAGAGCTCAATTCATATTATGTGTCAAAACTGAAAGGGAAGTCTATGTATCGAAAATAAAATGATGTCGTATATGAACAGTACTTTCTTCTTTCAGGCCTGCAGATTATCTTCAAAGGCGTCTTGAAGCCCAGCAGTACAAGGTTAAAGTGGAAAAGCAGTTGGTAAGCAAATCATTGAATAAAATTTGTAAAAGCAATTGAATGAAATTTCAAAAGACGAATTCTTGTCTTTCTAGTAGCAGACTGTAACAGTGACAAGTAACAAGTTCTGCTTTAGTAAATTTGTTGTTATGTTCTGCAGTGCTTTTCTTGAGGTTTTATTTTCTGGTATAAAGGTACAGTAATGTAAAATTCTTCTATATCTTTTTTTTAAACTTTTTAAAATCAGAAAATATACATTTGCCTTATTGCAGTGGAACAGGGGGAGTGAATTGCAAGAGCACTGAAGGAAAGGATTCTAAATGAAAATTTTCTATTCTGTGAATTACTTGTACATTAATAGGGACTGCGGCCATCCTCTGCTGATCCGTGTCATGACCAAATACAGCAGCAGGAAATAAAGGAAGAGCATCTCAAAGGTCATCAGCTGGACTTACCTAGAAAGAATGAAATGAAAGAGCAGGTAAAACAAAATGGTTTTCTTAGCTGCCTAAGACTGTTTTATTTTACTCATTGTCAATAGTGTTTTTGATGCAAGAAGCAATTATTTACCATCTGACAACAAGGAACACATGAGCTATTTTCATGTGTTTCTGTTTTTAGTAGACTGGTGAAGACTTGACACAAGTCTGACTTCCATAATCACATTTAAAAACATGACCTTGATTTTGGTCTCACTTCTACTGAAATCAGTGGAGTTATATCATTGAACTAGCTAATATCAGAGGACAGTAAATCCTCACATTTACAAATCAGAGAAAATATTCATAAATGCATTATTTATGTATATTTATATTCATTATTCAGAAGTCATTCATTTGTCTTCATATTAGGAAATTTAGAATGTGATATAGTAGTATGTAACACATAACTGCTTTCCTGGTATATTACAACTTCTGGAAATTCTCTGTATTCTATATAGCCTCAAGCTATTTCTCTTTTTGTATGACTGAGACAACAAACAGGTAATTCTTTTTTGTGTGAACAGATGTAAAAACAATAGATATCATATATTTAATTTTTAGGACATACATTAATTTTTACCTGAAGATAGACTTGGAAGCAAGAACGTGCTTGTCATATGCAGATTCTTCAGAAGTAAGAACTGAGTTTAGAATTGAGTTTTTACAGAGGCTTGTAGTATGGACAAATTTGCACAGACTTTGATAGAAACAGTAGCAGAGAGGTCCTTAGCACACAAGTTATCCTCTATCCAAATTTGAAATTTTTGCTTCAAAGCAGGGGGATGACAAAGCTTCTCCATAAAATATTACTAGGTTGTATTTCATTTCATAGAGGACATTACCATAGAATACATAATTTATAAACATCTTTTCTCTTATTTACTTAATCAAATTTCCAGTCACAGAGTTTAATATCAGCCAGTCCTCAGGCTGTTCTTGGAAGTAACTGTTTTCGTTCTAAAGAAGACACAGAATGAAACAAAAAACGTATGGAAAGCTTTAAAAGGGTTAAAGTCTGAAAGAGTAGACTCCAAAAATGCCCTGTTATGGAATGTTATCAAACAGTCTTTAAAACTGGCAATAAAGGACTCATACTTTTTTCTCGTGCATACATAGTTCTATATCCATAGAATATATTTTTTAAAAGTGTTATTTTTATATGTATTTCTAATGCAAGCATATTCTACCTTGCTGTTGTTTTATAGAATTACCTGAAATAATTAGAAAGGATTCGCAAAGAATACCAAAATGACCTAAAAGAGCTCAGATTCAGGGCAGGCATAGTCCAGGTAACACAGCTCCAATATAAAAAGCCTTTAGAAAGTCTTTAAAGCTGGTACACTTATGTAATAATCGAAATGAACATTTTATAAGCATGTCTTTTAGGAGAATCCAAAAATACAAGATAAAACCTATCTTGTGAAGCAAGGGAAAGCTGAGGAGTGGCTTGAAACCAAGGACACATCTGGAACAAGAGAACAGTCAGTTCAGGTATCAGTACTGTCTTACAGTCTAGGTAATATTTATAGAGTAATTATACAGAATAGTGCAAGCCTCGCATGTTTTTTTTTAATTCTCTCTCTATGGTAATTCTGAAAATCAATTTAAAATCTCACCTGATGCTCACACTGTATGTGAAAATCTCTGCAAGCTCCTTTCATGGATAGCCTGGAGGTTTATTCAGTTGTATCCTAATACATTTTGATAACTGCCTTTCACCTGTGTATTAGGATATACTCCTACTTAGTATCTGTTTTGAGAAGTATGTTTCTTTTCCTTGCTTTATGATTGAACTAGTGAAGAAGCCAGTCTTAGTGGCAGAACTTCATAAAAATTCTGTGCAGAAGACAGTAATTTGTGACAGAATTACTGCACAGTGCAGAACAGAAAATGAACACGATTCTTTTAAGGAAGGTGCTACATGGGGGAAACAGCCCTGATCCTTCTGCTGGGATTCTTCAGTCAGGATGTGCCTCAGTTAGCACAGGACTTGCTGCACAGCTCAGGCATGCAGCCCTGAGGGTGACTTTCACATAAACCCCTGGCAGACACTGCTGTGCTCTAGCAGCTGGTGCTTGGGTCAAACCTGCCACTATTAGTAGGATTCTCTCCAGTGATTTTCATGGATCCTGGACGAGGCTCTTCTAAAATTAATTCACACATCACTCACATGGATAACTAAATTATGAGCAATCAGAGCCATGACAGAACAGAGATGATGTTCCTAGTGCTTTACTGGGAAACGAATGATGACAAAAGAAAAGAAACAGTAGACTTTGCATCTGCTTGCCGTCACCTGAGTTCATGGGCACTCCATCTGTTGAAGGAACTGCTTAGATGTTTTAAAAGAGTAAAAATTGGGAATTGTGGTTTTATCTGAGGTTGAGGACATGCCCTCAGTTGGACATGCCCAAGCAACAGCTTACTGAATTACACATACTTCTTATTTACTCTGCTTTTATCTAATATGCACCTATGTTTTAACATAGAACAAAATAATATAATTAAATATGATTAATAACATATATCATTAAATTTAATAATATAATAATGTAACAATAATTGTATTGTAATATGATATGTAATGTTATAATAAACAACTTGTAGGTGTTAGCAGAAAACAAGATATTATGAAACATGGTTAGACTTTCTACAGATGTATGTTTCAGTTATATTTTTGATTTGCACCTTTTCCAGTTTTTAGCAGAATAAGGTCAGTCTGAATCGTTTTGCGTGTGGTCTTTCAAAAGAAAAAGGGGTGTTATTTGTTCCTTGACACAGTTCTATATCCTCGAAACACAGACTGGCAAAAAAATCAGAGGTTTCCACTTTATGAAAGGTATCCTATATTTTGTTTTTGCCAAATATGCCAGAATTGTAATGTGTTTTACTATTAGATTCTAAATAACAATAAAGCAATGAATAGAATATTCTTACAAGCATATACACAAGGAAATTGGTGACTACAGTCACTGCGTAAATAAGACTGTTTATTCAGGTCTTACACATATTCTGATTCCAACGAGTGCATACTAAAGTTGGGATTTTCTTCCTTCTAGGATGTGGAAGAAAACTTTAAACAAGTCAGACTCCAGGATCTGCAGGATCAAATAGTCTTCAGAAAGAGACATAACACAAAGGTATCTGTGCTCATTTCCACCTTTCTTCCATTTTCTTGTTTCATCTGTTTGTTTTAAATGTTCCTGTTATGCCACAACAGGTTGTTTGGGAGTCAGCTAATAGCACTGGTCTACTGTTTGAGAAAAATTTCTAGGGGAATATAGGGTCACCGAAAAAAGAAATGTATAGCAGAGGTTTTCTATTAATTTGAGGCTCTTTTTAGACATTCTCAGAGTAAAACTTCTTAGCTTTGTATCAGACTGCATTAGTGTATCATGCTGCCTCTAAATTTAAGAGAAGTTTAAGGGGTGTGGAGTTGCTGGAGAGAGTCCAGCGCAGGGCTACGAGGATGATCAGGGGCCTGGAACGTCTGCTCTATGGGGAGAGGCTGAGGGAGCTGGGCCTGTTCAGCCTGGAGAAGAGAAGGCTGAGAGGGGATCTAATCAGTGTCTATAAGTACCTCAAGGGAGGCAGTGAGGAGGATGGTGCTGGCCTCTTTTCAGTGGTGGCCACCGACAGAACCAGAGGAAACGGCCACAAACTGAAGCACCAAAAGTTCCACAGGAACTTAAGGAAAAATTTCTTAACAGTGAGGGTGACAGAGCACTGGAACAGGCTGCCCAGAGAGGTTGTGGAGTCTCCTTCTCTGGAGATCTTCCAAACCCGCTTGGACGCAGTCCTGTGCCACGTGCTCTAGGTGACCCTGCGTGTGCAGGGGGGTTGGGCTAGATGACCTCTAGAGATCCCTTCCAACCTGAAGCATTCTGTGATTCTATGATTTTATGAGAAGCCACGTCAGTCTGTACTTCTCTTAGCATTTCATTATAAATGATTATTCTTTGCAGTGCATTTTAGTTGTAAAAGGGAGTGAGAAAGTATTCAATGGAAATACACATAAGACATGAGGAGAGATTCTGACCAAAAGTAGTACTCAGAATTAGACCAAACAGTCTAGCTAAGAACCAACAGTTAAGAATCCACTCTGTGCATTGCAAGAATTTGAATTAAATAATTATCTAAGACAACTTTTCTTAAAATCACTGATATTGCAGGTTGTATAGTGAATTTAATCATTTTAAAATATCCACAAACTTATATTTCTGAGATCTATTTTTGTCTAATTTGTTCAGCTACAGTCTTTAAATGGAAGAAAAATCTCATTAAATAGAAAAATTGGGTTCTTTTACATATATAAGGTGTATACATTTTAATTAAATGGTTTTATTAAATATAATATTTTAATATGTGTGTAAAATTTCTTTAGGGAGGAGTAAAGTTCGAAATTAATTTAGACAAATGTGTTCCTGAAGAAGTCGGCGTTCAAGGAGAGGTAGGCTAGAGTTTATTCAAAACCTTTACTATAGTAATCTGAAATCATGACCGTAGCTCCATTATTTAAGGTTTTTTTTTTTTAAGGTCAATTACCATCCTCCTTTACTTTTGTTCTAACGGAGCTCTTTATTGAAGCTTGTTTGATCTGTAGTATGTAGCTGACCTTCTGCAAGAGGATAATGCCTAGAATAAAATTGGATGGGATAAATCTTTCACAAGGTAAAGGGTGAAGGTTTGCGGCTATCTTAGTTTTGCGAAAGTTTGAGAGGAACACATTTGAAAAACGATTTAGCTTTCAAATGCCAAATTTTAATTGTATTTTTTTTAGTACACTTGAGTATTATTTGAAATTATAATGACCACTTTTGCAATTATTAGCTACGCTGGTTTTGAAAATGTGCTTATTTCATTTAAATCGTAAGTTACAACATTTTAATGAAACGTAATACTTGGCAAAATCCTCCTGTCAGTTTAGACATGCCAGAAAACTCCATCTGTGACCTGGTTCTCACAGAAATTCCTGTGATGTGTCAGTTGTATTTGATGCTTATGCAGCAGGCCAGAGCAAACACCTGAGAGCAGTCCCGTTCCTCAGTGTGAACATCGTGCAAGTGTCTCCTCAGGGCCTTCTTTCTGGGCCTGCCTCATTTTGGAAGAGGCCAAAACTGCTGAGTGACTGTGGGCAACACGCGTGCAGAGTTTGCAAGGTCAGGAGAAGCAGAGTTGTTGAACTGTAGAAGAAAAAAGTCAGTGGGATTACAAAAAACGGGTCTGCAACTTTCTGCCAAGAGTAGTTTCTGAGGAGAACTGGATCATTTTATCATGGCTTGGACAGGGGATTTTCACTTGAGAGGAAAGTTCCTCCAGCAAGACATGTATTCTTGTTCTTCTAAATTATTTTCTAAGCCAAATTCCTATTACTTTCTTTTGTTTTGTTTTCATCTCTGTGTCATCCTGTTTGGTTGCATAAGTATTTCTCTGTCCTTTTGGGTGAAGGGTTGGCTGTCTTGCTACCAACTATATCATGAGATCTCTGTCCAAGCTTGACATACTTTCCCCCCACTGATAACATTAAAGTTGAGCTGGGTTCATTGTAGTGCTACTTTAATATTATATTAGGACAGGGCCATTTCTTTCACACAAAAAGAATGGCATTGCAATAAACAGGTGTTATTTAGACAAAGTAGTAGTGAGACTACACACAACCTAATGTTAAATATTACATAATGAGAGCAGTCAGCATCTAATAGCTAGCTATTAATTTCAGATTTTTATTATCACATTAGGATGTTTGAAGTATTTCTACTAGCAACATTGAGAAGCAGAATTTCTTTCCAGAGTGTATATACTAAATTTTTTAAGCTCTATTTTGTTTTTCTGCTGTTTCACTCTTCTACATAGTTCCCAGGCAACCCTGTGATACATAAATCACAATATGTACTTTGAGTCCTTCTGTTTCACTTTTACTACTTGCTTGTACATACATGAGAATGTTTGTCAAACACAATGATATGGGAGGCAATTAGTTACTGTCCCATATTTCTTTTCTAAGTTGCTGTTGTTTCAGGTACTAGATAAACTCAGTGAGACTTTAAGTTCTGTGGATGGTGAGAATCTTAAGGAGAAATTGGTGGAAGTCAATGAAGATCATACAGACAGGGCTTTGGAAGAACTAGCTGGATACCAAACAGGTATTACATAGAGAAATGCAAAGCCAAGTGAATGTATTTGTCCTGAAAATGAGTTAGGAGTTAGTTAATTTCAGTAATTTCAGCCTGTAGTAGGTTTATCTGTTGAGCTGTCTAAGATTTTATGACACAGTCAACATTGTAATCACACTGAAATCTGCTTGGAAAAAGATGAAATAACTCTGCTCTTTTCTTCTCCTTAAGAGCCCAGCGATGTAGGTGATGCCAAAGAAAACAGAAAATGTTGGAAAGCTGGAGCCCCTCAGACACTCCTGAATGTTTTAGCTGATGCTCGTGTCACATCTGTATCCCCTACTATGACTGAAAATGAACTTGGTAAGAATGTGTTACAGTTTTTCCGTGAATGAAGATAAGAATGGTTAGAATTCAGCCAGATGAGCTAGAGACTTTTGCCAAGATAGTTCCATACCAGAATGCTCCCAGGATCTAGCAGGCTTTTACTCACAGGACTTCACACAATGTGTGCTGGGTGAACAAGAGCTGGGGACACCCACGCAACTGATGGACTGAGTGATGGACACAACTTTCTGCGAGCCAAGGATCTTCAGGGACTGATTGCTGCAAAAGAAGGATTATTCCAACATTCTGCCAGTACCCCATGCTCAGAAACACCCTGAAGAGCTTGCATGAACAAGCAGGTCAAAGCAGAGTATTACATGAGCTTTACACATCTTGTCCCCCAACCCTGTCTCAGATGTGAGCACAGGGCACAGCAGAAGCAGGAACTTCTTTGGAGCTTTTTCAGCCCTAAGAAAGCAGCCCCTCTGAAACCAAGAACTACTCAGTGAAGCTGCAGCTCTTTATTCCAGACAGGCCTAATTAGCAGTTACTGGAGCATAAAAATCTGTGTTAGAAATTTTTAGTGGCAGTTAAGCTTCTTAGTGGCCAGTAGTCCCAACTATTTTTTATCTACAGTATCAATCAGATCAAATACTTATCAAAGTTTTCAGAAGGGAAAAAAAAAGTTGCACAAGGAAAAACAAGTCAAGTTTCAGCATTACGCAAAGGGTATAAACTGGTATTAGAATGAAAAAGGCTGAACCTGACAAAAGAAGACAAGTGCCAAGCCACAGGCATGTTTACTGACCGGAAACCTTCCTGTTCTTTAGCTGACCATGTTATTATGCCTGAGGACATCGCAGAAGACAGGAAGCAATGGAAAAAAGCAGCACCAGGGACACTCCTAAACATATTAGCAAAAACAGAACTGTGTAATGACTCCTTTAATCAGCTTGAAGAGGAAATAGGTAGGATGGTGGTTATTGTAAATTCTACAAGCTTTTCTTTGGTGTGCTATTTCTTCTACTATTGAAGAGCAGTTTTGATTAAAACTAAAATTTTGAGGTTGCCAAAGCAGAAAAACAAGCACAGCCTTTATCTTTTAGCAGTGAAAGAAGCTTCTTTCAGGATGTTAACTAGGCAGCTGCCGTTTTCAATTGCAGGAAAAAGGGGAAGCTCTACTTATCAGCTATTAGTTCAGAAGGTATTTTCATTTGCTTGGGTAGATGGAGGCAAGCGACTACTGCCCCCATGTTAGAAGAGAACAACCGTGCAACTGCTGTGATTGAAGGACCCTGTAAAAACATTTATACAAGTGCCTGTATTCATAATTATTTAAGGTCTACCTGATGCAGTAGTACCTGATGCAGTATCATGACATGGTCCATAGTGATAGAGCTGACACTGAAATTAATTCCAACTTAGTTACACTACAGCGGGTTTTCCTGAAATAAGGAAATAAATGTGTTTTAAAAAACGTAGTTGAGTCAAAGTACATTTTAAGCACTAAAATGCAAAGCAAGATTATTGCCCATAGAAAAATGCAATAAATGTAACCTGAGATTGTATTTTATGCCCTGCTGCCAATCTATTCAATGTCTCATTTGATGACACATCTTTTAAGCCAGCTAAATAGGAGATGCCAAATCTTATCATTTTTAATGCAAGAAAATACCTTTCATTGTAATTATGCAGTCGACACTCTTCTGCTAATTATGCCTCATACACCTGTTTTCTCGTAGGATAACAAGGTCTTTTAAAACCACCCCATCCTGAAAGCTGAACAAGCTAAATGTCCACTCCTCTCCTAGGACAACTCTATAGCCCATGCTAAGGAAAAGGAAATCAAACCACACTTCACTAATGCCAGGAGTTCACAGGGTTCACGGAAGAATAAGGTCACACATGTATTCAAACTGCCATTGCTTTTATCAGTTATATTTATTAAAATATTTTGAAAGCATTCTCTTAATACACAGTTCTGGCCTGCTCCTCAAGCTAATGTTGTGAACTGTATTGTTACCTGCATTGACAGATTGTTGTTGAAATGCAGAATTCAGCCTCTACATAAGGCAGCAACTCTTGTATCATCATTTTCTCCCCTTTCAGGTTTGGGCTGCCCTTTAGGTCTTTGAAAGTGAACATTTCGAGAACTACGGCTACATCCACACAGAAATTTTCAGCTTTTCCCAAACTGTCCCTAAGATTTCCCACTGAAAAATGCCAGCCCTGTATCAGAAACTTTAATAACAGGTTCCCTTTCTTGTTTACACATCTTTGGTTATGATCTACAAACACTCAGAGCAGAAGTTATAAACTATTGACTAGAACATTTGTGATCAAGAATAACAGAAGTCAGTTAAGCATATTTACAGTGTTGTAATTTAAACAAAAGTCCAGTATTTATTTATTAATATGCTACTAATTTATAAACTTTTATAGTTTACTTAATATATAAATAAAAGAACATTTCCTTCCCTTTCCAGAAGGGACATTATTAACCTCGTTGCCCCCAAAAGAAAACAAGGAAGATGGTTCAGAAAAATACTCTGCTGTTGACGTTGCCGGAGGGAGACTTGAGCCAAGATCAGATGATGATGACACGTAAGTCAAGTATACCAGAAGAAAGCCGTCAAACTGAACAGTTCTCACGATACTGCAGCTTGCACTGCCACAAGCATTTCCTCTCCTTTTAAAGCCATAAATCAAGAAAACTAGTTTACAGTCTACTAATTGAGCTTTTAATTTTGTAATTTAGTATTTTAAATGGTAATGCTGACATTAAGAATGTTATATAGAAGAATTACGGTGGCTTTTGTAACTCCTGCTCTCGGACCTTATAAATACAGAGAAACAACCTGATGGAGAAAGAAGAAGCAAGTCACATTTTGTATCTAACTTGTGTATTTTTACAAAGTATTTTTTACAAGCCTCAAAAGCCTCAGAACTACAGAAGTTTACAATAGGGCTGTTTAATCAATGTAACTTTCTTGTTTAATGTACAGAAATTTTGAAGATTCTGAAGATGAACTGAGACATGGGCTGGAAGGATCTCTGGAAGAAGAGCCAACTTCTCCAGCAGAGAGAACCATAGAGGATCCCATCATTTCCACAAATCAAGGTCAAACAGATGAAGAAAAGATGAGTTTACCTAGCAAATTACTTACAGACTCTGGTGAGGATTCATTGGGGTTGTTTAGTGCTGACACACATAATGAAAACGGCAAAAAGGAAACAACAGCTACGTAGGATGTTAGAGTAATTATTGCTTCAAAACTTCACTTGGCTTGAAACTGTAGCAACATCTGCAGCAACATTTAAAAATAGACATTAAGTGCCAAATAAATCAGTTGCTTTTCAGTGCTGCTCAACACTCTGTTAAAATTAATAGAGGGTTGGTGTCATTCATGTCTAAGATTAAAAAAAAAAAGGCTACTTATTCAGATGCCTACATTTTGAAAAATCTGATCCAGACTGAAATTAATTTTCATTATTCTAAACTATTTTAGACATCTCTGACAACACTGACTTTAGTAAATTTCTGATATATGCTCTTTACAATCATTTTTGTATCATTTAAGACAGTGTCCTGGTCAGTGTATTTGTATTCCACTTTTGAATCAAGTTCCTGTTTTAAGAAGCTTTTCCAAATTCTCATTATCTTTGTGTTACCAATATAATTTTATAATCCCCATGCTTAATTTGCACAGTATGGACCATATATAGTGTCGCCAACTACTCAGGTTTATATAGTAGCAGCAGAGGCGTTTATTAGCACTAAGAGAATTGCATTCCCAGACTCCTAAGAAGACATGAGCAATAGGTTCTTCCAACTATATTTTTTCACATAATAATTTCATATAATCCAGGTAAAGTTTAAATAGAGGGGAAAAAGACATTTTAACTCTGATTTCAGTAGCTTTTTGCACTTTTCTTTTAGTTTGCGAGGATATAAGATACTGCTTTGCTAGCTCAGCAAACACTTTTCCACTTTTGACAAAAAAGTCTACTTATTTAACAATTTGCTTGTTTTGTTCTCATTTAATAATAAGCAGTAGTTCATAGTCACAAAGTTCATATTTGTTTATCATTTAAACCAGTCCTCTACTCTAGAGCCTCCTTTCCCTTAGGAATATGAACATTTTCAATATAGAATAGGACTGCAAAAATCTGCTGTCATACAGTAGAAGCACAGGAGAAAACAGTTAATATAAATAGCATATACAGGTGAGGTTATTATGTATATTAAAAAGCAAAAACCATATGATTAACCTAGAGCAATCACTGTAGTTGGTGGTAATGAAACCTCCACTTAAGCCCCACTTGAGAAGCAGCTACTGGATGTTCTTCATTAGAAAAAGGAAGCAAAAAGAATCCTAAAAATGAATGCATTTTCTTTTTGTATTGTTAGGGAGTACTTAACGGTGCAGGAAGTGTCTATGTGGATATAAGTAGCTGTAGACACATTGTATGTGTCTGGAAGGATTCTGAACATTATTTAAAGATTTCATCAGAAATAAAAAGGAGCATAACTTCTGCATTAGACGATCAAGGAGAACCCTGTAAAGTAGAATTTTGTCACTCAGTGGGAGACAGCAAATTGAAAATGTGATATTCTGAAAAAAAAATGGATATAAAGCTGTCACAAAAAAGTTAGTTCTAAGTGTGTCAGTGGGTGAAGAGGCATGAAATGGGTGGAAACTGACTGAAGACAAAATAAATATTCAATAAATAAAAAAGCTTCCAGGTACACTTCTGTTTGCCAGGAAAACACAATCTCTATTACATATAGCAGATGTTCTGACAGAAAGAAAAAAATCCTTCTGAATAGGACCAATAGGACCACGGGATCATAAACTGCAGTATATTTACAGGAAACATATGGTCAAATACAAAACCTTAATTTTACTCATATACATTTTTATTCGTATACATTTACTTAAATAATGGCTCCACAGATAATAGAAATGTCTCTTCAAAATGCTGGTCAGAAAATCTGTGCACAGACTGACGAGCATTTTCTCTGATCTCTAACCTTTGTTCAGGGGACAGAGAGAGGATATGGGCCATAGTCTCAGCATAACCGTCCTCGTTTTCGGCCAGGAAGCCTGTAATACGTCCTTCGTAGGGGACCACAATATCTAATTTAGGGCCTCCAGAATTGTGAGCCAGGATAACCGTGCCAGCTGCCATACATTCAACGACACCTGCAAAAGATGCAAAACATGCTGATATGAATATATAGATCACATATTTTTGATTTCAGTAATGAACTGGAAATTTAAAACTTCCACCTCATCTCCCCAGAACTGCAAGCTGTCTTTGTTACTACAGATCTGACTTCTAGCTCAGTTTGAAAAATACAGAGTAAATGCCCTTATAGCAAAAGCAAAACAAATTTGATTTCTCAGTCCCGAGGACATAAAACGGTATTCTCCATTAAACATGTATAATTGAAATTAGAAATCATATAAAACAGATTAAGTTATTGTTGTTCTAACATACTTGCTTTACCTAAGGGAGATGATATGGTGATAAAACAGTAGATGTTGAAAAGAACATAAAGATGGGTTAGTTCTGAGACAGAACACTCCTAGCTAACCTCAAAACAAGGACTCGATTTTATGGCTTTGTGGCATCTGCCAAAAATCAAAAATTAGAGCTGAACATGACTGGATATTCAGTTTCTCACTCAGACTGAATATTAGTAACATTTAGGAAGATACTCTAAAAGAAGAGCTGACTGTGGCCATAGTGTCAGATGACAGTCAATCAGATGTTCAATATTTTGCAGATGAATCAATCTTTATAGTGGTTTGACAATTCAGCAAGACAAACCAAGTACATTGGTATCGCTGAATCTGTATTTTTGACTATTAAAAGTTTTAATGAAAAATCAGCAATGGCAGGAATCATGTAGAAAATGCACTTTCCTTAGCCAAAAGCTGCAGGATGAGAACAGCATACAGGTCAACTCCATCTCTCCTCCATGTTTCCAAAACAGACCTCAGACATCGTTTAATTGATGGTTTTCCTCAGTTCTGATTTGATTTTTAAAAGTTCCATTAATTGCCAGCTACAGATAATGCTCCAAAATTTGGGAACACATTTTCTAAAGGCAAAAAAAAGCCACTGGACTTGAATGTGAAATCAAGACGAAATTTAGAATCACAGTATGATTATATCACATTTCTTTGAAAATAAACTATACTTTATGGAGCTAAAAATATGAGGAATCATTATTTCCAGTTGACAGTTGCTTCCGGGAGACTATTGAATTTTTATACCAATTTTCTATGGAATATAAATACTTCAGGTATTTACTTATATTCTAATAAAATCTTAAGTCATTAAGTGGAGCTTCTCACATTATATCCAGGTACAGCATCCACGTGGTCACTAACACATTGTACATTGATGGTACTTGGCAATCTTAACACTCCCTTTCCAAGTTAGGAAAACTCTACCAATCCCAATAATCCATGTCTGGAATCTTAATTTCACATGACAGCACATTTAGTTGTCTAGAGGTGCCCAGTGCAGCAGGATGAGCCAGGTACCTGGCCTTGCACAAACTCTGCTGTAACCACCAAGAGATGCAGCTTAAAATTGGGGAAAGATACTGACCGATCCCAAAGTGCTCGTTCCACATCGTGTGCAGGCCAATGGTGGCCTCGGCCAGGTGCTGCTTTAACTCCCCAAATGGAATGTTAATCCTGAACGCCACATCCTCACCAACCCCCAGCTCTTCACAAAGACGTCTGAGGTTGTTGACACGCTCCTCATCTTGCTGGTTACGACAGCCTCCAATTAGGATAAGCTTCAAAGGCGGTCGCTCCACCGGTCTCTTCTTTTCCAGCAGTTTAGCGAAGGCTCTGATTTGCAACGGATGATCTTTTTCAGGCCGGAACTGGCTGACAGAAACAATGGAATATTCAGTAACACTCTTTTCCTCTTCCAGCGGAATATCCAAGAAGGTCTGAACATCGCAGGGCGGGTACACGATGCTAGTGCAAGCTGCGGATCTCCAGAGGGAAAGGATGTGATTCAGCGTCCAAGAGGAATTGACCATAACCACATCACTGCAAGAACCAACCAATCCATACAGAAAGGCAAACAAGTAGTAGTAGACAAGTTTAAATTTGCTGAAAAGAGGGCTGTTTGTAATGAACGCAGCATTGTTAAATCTGGTATCCTGATTCCTAACTACAGAAAGCATGTCCGTGCTGATGGTGGGATAATGAACGTAGCACCCAACGCGGCAACCTCCTATGTATTTGAAGAGCGGCAGTGTGAAGGCATAGCCCATTGAGTCAATATAAACGTCAGGAACACACTTCAGAAGAGCTTCCCAACCAAGAAGCACCGACCCTAAACTCTGTCCCAGCAAAGTGAAGTAGGGGTAGAGAGCAGCTTCCACAAGATAGCGCTTTTCTAGAAACACAAACTTAACAGGATGAGATAATTTAATATTGAACCTTCTCAGGGCACCTGCTATTATATCTTCTCCAGTGACATCTCTATCACCGGTATAAACAACGCACGTAGTATTTTTGTACCTGAAAGAGTAAAGAAAAAGAATTTCACATCTTCTCTTCAAATTTCATATCATGAATCTAAAATTTTATCCACCTCAACCTTACCCAAAGCGTGAGAACAATTTTCTGGCCTGCCTCTGAAATGATTTTGAGTTAACTGAATTGATTCTATGAATTCTTGTGTTTAACTACCCCACACTACATAGCACAAGTGAAATGCAGAAAGACAGTGCAAGCCAGTGGACATGTTAATGTTAAATCTAGTTTAGATATTAATTAGTCTACAGCATCAGCAGACAAGTATCAAAATTGGACAAGGGGTGATGGGTACAAATTGAAACACAGGAAGTTCCACCTCCATGTGAGGAAGAACTTATTTCCTGTGAGGGTGCCAGAGCCCTGGAACAGGCTGCCCAGAGAGGCTGTGGAGTCTCCTTCTCTGGAGATCTTCCAAACCGCCTGGATGCCACCCTGTGCCACGTGCTCTAGGTGTCCCTGCTGGAGCAGGGGGTTGGGCTAGATGATCTCTAGAGATCCTTTCCAACCTCAACAATTCTGTGATTCTGTGAAGATTAGGTCACTGGTAATCTACTGATGAGTTATGCCCATGCAAGTGCTACAGAACAACTGGGGAAGAATTAACAGCCAATAAGAGAAGGACAAAATGATACAAGCAACAGCTACACAGAAACCAGAGGATGGAACAAGGTCTGGAGCAAGTAATAAAGCAGGAAAAGAAGGAACCTGCTGAGACCCAGATATAAAGAAATTAAGAACCTGTAGATCAATGCTACTGATTTAAATATGCAAAACTCCAAAAAGTGCAAAAATAACGTCTCAGAAACTCACATTGAAACATGATGTTTGATAAACATATGTGCTTACTTTTTCTGGAGCGCTCTTATGGCACACCACAGGACTCTCTCCCCTCCGCCACCTGCATTGCAATACGGGTGAAAAAATGCAACCACCAGTGGCTGCTTCCCATCTTTTCCCACTGAGGACAACTGTTTTTTCCTTTGTTGTATCCAGAGCCGTATTCCCCACAGGAGCACGAACAAGCAGACACACAAAATTCCGCTTAGAAATAGTGCAGGGATTAACAGCGAGCACAACAATCTGAAACAAGCAGGAAAATGTATAATTGCTTTAAGGCAATACTATATATGAGATGCATACAAAAGCGCTTACAGGTGGAATTAAGGGAGCTAGGCAACTTCCTGAGCTTTCTCAGTCTCAGAGATCATCAGTATCAGTGCTGCAACAATGACGGGAAATAAAACTGCTTCCAAATGGATTTGCAAGAGCCTCCTTCAGCCCAAGGCACTGCTGGCCTGTCGGAGTGCAGAGCTGCCTGCGTTAGCAGCCCTGCACTGCCCAGGACTTCCATCATCCCTCATCCTCACCCTGCAGCACCCTGAGCAAAGAGGTGAGGAACCGTGTTTGGGGTTTCAGGTCTCCATGGTGCTCTCTAAGCCCTGCGCTGCCTTTGAGCCCCCTGCAGTGCCTCTAAGCCAGGCATGTGGAGGGGTCACTCGAAGGCGTGTTTTCTTGGTCAGTAAAGTTTCAAATGCAAACAAAGTGCTTGATTCCTGCCGCTGCGCTACACGCTATCGGAAGCTTCTTTTACTCGCTAAACCTTGCTCACAGCAGCTTAAGAACCACGAGACATGGAAGGCTACAGGTGGCCACTTCATTGTCGGGGCGAGGAGACTGCGGCACCGGGTAACAGCCCCAGGCCGGCAGCACCGCGGTCCCGGCGCCGCCTCGG